TCGTGACCTGGCTGAAGTCGGACGCTTAACCGACTGCGCCACCCAGGCGCCCCTAAAAAAATTTTTAATGAGTCATAACAAAGAACTCTTTATCCAATAGGAAAGGTGTCCTGGTGTCCTTACAAGAAAAGGAAGGGGGACCAGATCTCTCTCTCTCTCTCTCGATGCACAAAGAAAAGGCCATGTGAAGACCCAGGGAGAAGGTGGCCATCTACAAGCCAGGAAGAGAGTCTTCACGAATGACCAAATCTACCAGCCTTTGATCTGAGACTTCTAGCTTCCAGAACCAGGAGAAAATTAACTTCTATTGTTTAAGGCTCCTAGTGTACCGTATTTTGTTATGGCAGACCTAGTAGACCAATACAATGGAAATGTCTCCTAACCAAATACAATCCAATGCTGCCACACCTCACCTACCAGCTGGAAGATTTCTCACCTCTAAGTTTGCTTTATTTGTCTTTGAAGTAGAATCTATATAATCCACTCATAGAGTTTCCATGGATAATAAAAAGAGAATATGTGTAATAACCCTAATAGAGTATTTGGAATATGGAATTCATTCCTGATATAACGTCCAAGATTTTGAGTACTTCGTATCCCCATTTAAGTTATATGGAGGATGGTGTTAGAGATAAGAAAATTTGTTTTTGGTCGTCACTGCCATAAAGGACTTCAACACTGTCTTCTCTACGTAAAGCCACGGGACATTTCCATCAACCCACTGACACAGCCCTGGCCTCATCTCTATGTTAGCCAATTACCTGATTCTTGACTCTGTGAAGATTCCTGGTCTTCAGATTCGCTTCTGAATGGAGAACTTGAGTGTCAAAAATGAGGAAAATATTAGAAATTAGTTCACAGCAGGCACCTGGCTATCAGTAGAGCATGAGGCTCTTGATCTTGGGGTCATGAGTTTGAGCCCCATGTTGGGTGTAGAGATTACTTACAACCAAAACTTAAAAAAAAAAGAAATAAATCAGTTCACACACATGCAATAATAATAATAAATAATAATAATAATAGTAATAGTAATGAAAGGGATGTGATTAAAAACTAGAGCTGTTTGGCCCAAACAGTGGCCACTAGCCAAAAGAGGCCATTTAAACTTTTAATTTAATTTAATTTAATTTAATTTAATTTAAAATTCAGCTCCTCAAGGGTGCCTGGGTGGTTCAGTTGGCTAAGAGTCCAACTTCATTCAGGTCATGATCTCACAGTCCATTGGTTTGAGCCCCTCGTCGGGCTCTGTGCTGACAGCTAGAGCTTGGAGCCTGCTTAGGATCCTGTATCTCCCTTTCTCTCTGTCCCTCCCCAACTCATGTTCTGTCTCTGTCCATCTCTTGAAAATTAATAAAATTTAAAAACAATTTAAATTCAGCTCCTCAGCTGTACTATCCACATTTCAAATACTTAATACCTACATGTGGAAAATGGATAACATATTGGCTACCGCAGAACAGAACATTTCCATCATCATGGAAAGTTCTACTGGACAGTTGTATTAGACTCTCAAAAAAGAGATAACTTGGACAAAGAGAGGTTTGTTAACAAAATGTAAGCATAGTAGAACTAAGAGGATCTCTCAACCCAAATGTGTTTTGACCACTCTACCTCTTGTCCTATTATACCAGTGTCCAAAGTGGCCATACCTAACTTCTATTGTTTAAGTTGCTCTGGCGGGGGGGCGCCTGGATGGCTCAGTCGATTAAGTGTCCCAACTCTTGATTTCGGCTCAGGTCATGATCTCATGTTTTGTGGGTTCGAGACCCACATCATTCTCTGTGCTGACAGTGCAGAGCCTGCTTGGGATTCTCTCTCTCTCTCTCTCTCTCTCTCTCTCTCAAAATAAATAAACTTAAAAAAATATTTAAGTTGCCCTGACTGTGTCACTTCAGCTGGCAGTAGGGGCAGGACTGGAGGGGGACAAGAATTTTGTGACCACATGGGTTTGTGAGATGCGACTGCTTATATTTCCAAATCCAACGGGCATGATGGCAAAGGAGGTCTGAGAGACAATATTCCAGGGCAAGTTAGATGCACGCTACCCACTCTGAGTCTTTTACTGTGGAGTCTTTTTACTACCAACAAAGTACTGTGAACACACGTGCCTGGTGTTACTAAATGTCAACAGTGGTTAGAGAAGGATTTTCCAATTTTAGTATATGTGCTGCCGAAGCGAACACTAGAGAAGAATTTTCGAAATGAGCCTGCAAAACTTCCTGGAGAAAATTCACAGAAACAGGAAGCTGACATCGGTGAGGGTCAAAAGACACAGCAGGGGAAGAGGAAGAGAAGAAAAAGCAGAAGAGAGGTACAAGAGGTCCAATAAAGCAAAAAAGAAGACTGTACCACAAAAGATTCTGATCGCCAAAATTCCCAGAGTGAAGAAGAAATATGTGACAGGACTATGTGGCTTTGCAACTTTCGAAATTGATCTTAAAGAAGCACAGAGACTTGTTGCTCAAAAATTCTCCTGTGGGGACTCAGTAACAGGAGAGGATGAGATCATCATTCAGGGAGACTTTATATATGACATGATTGATGTCACTCAGGAAAAAAATGGCCAGAGGTGGATGATGATGGCTACAAAGATCTTGGAAAAGCAAAGAAGTGATTTTAAAAATTTGTCTGCATAGTGTGATCCCTAACACTTGAAAGTGATGTGGCCAAGGGCTTAAATACATATATATATATATACACACACACACACACACACACGTGCACACACACACATGTTTATGTGTGTGTGTGTGTGTGTGTGTGTGTCCTACAGTAAAACTGTAGATTTCAGCACACTTGATATTTTCACTGTTCTGGATAAGGTTGGTTCGTCTTTTTAACTGCCAAAGTCTGATAAACAGAGGGGAGACTGTAATGCTTATACATGAAATAGAATTTAGTCAAATAAACATTTTGGGTCATTTAGCATTAATTAATTAATTAATTGGCTCTCATTTGTGTCATATAACTTTTGGAATAAAAACACTGAATTAGCAATTGACTCATGGGTGAAACACATGCCCCCATAGCAGTGGTGCCCAAACTGGACTGCACCTGGGAAGCTAAACCACTTGCGCGCCCCCCGCCCCCCCGCAACTCACACAAATACCTATCACAAAACACAGGCCACAGCCCGTACCAATTAAGTCAGGAGGTTGGTGGTGAGACCAAAGCACCATTACTTTTAAAGCTTCCATGATTCCACTATTTAGACAAAGCTGAAAATCATGATCTATGGGGTGAGCTAGTGGTTCATGAGGCACCTGGTTGTGAGAATCCGTCCCTAACACATGAGGACAACCAACACAATCCAGCCTCTGTCTTGGGGAGTTGGAAATTTGGAATGAATCAAGACCTGGGGTATCATA